GCTCCATAAATGCTGGTTTCCCTTTACAAACACAGTGGGGTGGTGGACATCCTAGTATCTCCTAGGTAAGAAAATGGGGTGGGCAGGACCAACGAGTTTACAGTGGACATGAACGTACTGGGGAGATTTGGGGCAGCATGGGGAAAGGTTGCCCACCCCATGCCAAGTTAACAAGGCATCTCTCCTGCTCCCTTCCCTCCAAAGGAGGGTGCCCCTGGAAGTTAATGGATTAAGCAGGGGCCTTCAGGAACGACGGGAAGGAATGGTGGCACTTCTCTACAGGATGCCTTCTCTTCTCTGATTAGGGATGACTTTAAGAATTTAATGGAAGGGGGCCTGGGTGGCTCAGTCAGTTGAGCATCTGACTCTTGATTTCAGCTTGGGGTTGTGATCTCAGGTCATGGGATCAAGCCCCACTTTGGGCTCTGTCCTTCGCACCGAGTCTGCTTGAGATTCTCACATTCTCAATGAATAAATAAATAAATAAATAATAAATAAATAAATTTTAAAAATATTTTTTATAAAACTTAATGGAGGCCCAGCCAGGTGACTCTGAGCGAGCATCATTACAAGAATGGAACTTCAAGAGGCTGGCACGTGGTCTGTCTCCTTTGTCCTCTACAGCTCTGCCTGACATGTTGTAGGTGCTTGATAATACCTGTGGAATGAATGAGCAATCATCATTAGCCCCCGCATCCCACAAAGTTCTGAGGATTCTGGACACAGGAGGCATAACTTCTGCAGGGACACTCTGAGGCCCATGATGCCACAGCAGCTCAGACCCCCTCCCCTGTTTCTGGTGTGTCTCCACAGGGCCCCTTCAAGTTGTGCAGTGGATGTTCTGGGTGCATCCCATCACCTTCTCCTGGATCAGTGTTTCACAAGCCATGGCCGTCGTCGTCGTTGTCATCGTCGTCGTCTTCTTCTTTCTTCTTCTTCTTCTTCTTCAAGATTTATTCATTTATTTTAGAAATAAAGAGCATGCACGAGCAGGTGGAGGAGCAGAAGAAGAGGGAGAATCTCAAGTAGACTCCACAAGCCATGGCCTTCTTCTTCTTCTTTTTGTTTTAATTAACATGTTTATTTTAGAGACAGAGACAGCATGGTGGAGGGAGGGTCAGAGGGAAAAAGAATCTGAAGCAGACTCCATGCTGAGCATGGAGCCCAACATGTGGCTCGGTTTCACAACCTTGAGATCATGACCTGAGCAGAAACCAAGAGTCTGATGCTTAACCGATGGAGCCACCCAGGCAGCTCGCCATGGCCTTTTTTGTAAATACTGTTTTCTTGGGACAAAGCCATGCTCACTGGCATAAGCATTCTCTGCATCTGCTTTTATGCCACAGTGGCAGGATTGAGGACACGCAACAGAAATGAATGGCCAGAAAAAAACCTAAAATTTTTATTATCTGGTCCTTTCAGGAAAAGTTTGCTGAACCCTATCCTAGGGAGAATAAATGAAATAAGGTTTTCCCCCAAGAAGGGGCTCATTCCCTCTCCGGGTTGGAGGCTAAACTGACTGAACACAAGGCCCTTTCATCTCTGAGGGTCTGGGGGCTCAGCAAGTAGCATCCCATAAAAAGACTGTACTGATATCAAAGGCAGTGTGTTCTGCAAAGTCTCTTGTAGGCCGGCTGCTGCCCTAAGCACACCCCTGTGCTCTCATGTGTACCTCCCAGCAACACCACGAAGCGAGAACTATATCATCCCCACTTTACAGATGAGAAAACTGAGGCCTAGAGAGAATAAATGACATCCACAGCATTCCACAGTGGGGCTGTGGCAGAGTGGGGGCTCTCTCATGTCTGTTTTGAGTTCCAACTGCTGTTCATGGGCACTCCTCTGAAGGCCCAGCAGGAAGACTGTTGTTACTTAAACATGAATAAACACGAAACAGGTTGCTTCAGGCACAAAAAGTTGTTGCTGTACAAAAACAACCCCTCGCCCAATACTTGGAAGAGTGGGTCTCTGGCAAGGGCATGGTGAGGAAGGCTTCTCTTAGGATGGGATAATCATCCCATAAAGAACCAGAGTCCCACGTGGGATCCCTGGGTGGCGCAGCGGTTTGGCGCCTGCCTTTGGCTCAGGGCGCGATCCTGGAGACCCGGGATCGAATCCCACATCGGGCTCCCGGTGTATGGAGCCTGCTTCTCCCTCTGCCTGTGTCTCTGCCTCTCTCTCTCTCTCTCTCTCTCTCTCTCTCTGTGACTATCATAAATAAATAATAAATAAATAAATAAATAAATAAATAAATAAATAACCAGAGTCCCAAGCCCATCCAAGTCAGGGTAGAGGCTCTCTCCAGTGGGACGTAACCCAACTCGTGAGAAAATGTCACCCAGAGCTCACACAGAACAGACCTGACTTGATTGCACCTGCCACCCACACCAGAATGAGAGCTAAAGGCTCTGCATTTGAATTCAAAAGAACAGAGTTCCCCCGGTAGGTCTACTCCAACTCCCCAGATAAACACATATTATACAATAAGGGCGCACATTTGTCTTCCTAAATTAAAAGGTCTACACCTCTTTTAGAGAATTCTCTCCTTTAGGGCTATGTGCAGAAATTTACCCAATTTCACATTGTTGTAATAACAAAACTTTAGGGAAATAAGAGACAATAATGTGAGAGTCCTGCCATTATTACACAAAGAGCAAAATTGTTTATTTTTTGCTTGAGATAAAGGGAAGATTACATGCCAGGGAATTTAATCCGGATTAAGAAGACAGCACGCACACTGAGCTCACTTCCTGTTGACACAGGAAGAAAAGCTTCTGGTTTGTTTTCTGAGACTCTGTCCACAAAGTCAGAAGCTCATTAGTTTACACAAGTTCCCCTCCCCCTGTGGAGGAAAAAGGGACACCCTAGTCACATGAACCATTCAGTAATTTGACTCAGACAAAAATTTCTATTTCTACTTGTTACCAACCGTACAAGTGCTGCGACGTCCCCAGCTTAAATTTGGAAAATATCAAACTCCTTGGTCCTCTGCCTCTTTGGCCCTTGCTCTGTGGTCAGATAACCATCAATGGTGCCCTCAGCACCACACAGGTGATCTGCTTCACAAACATCACCACCCTCACGGCCTTCCACTCTACAGAAACCCCCCAGCCACAAGGATTTCTGGTCTGTCACCTTGTTTCTTTCTTTTTTCACACCTATCCCTAACAAAAATGAACTTGCTTGCATTTTCATGGTTCACATGTTTCCAGACAGAATGTGTGTTCCTTAAGAGCAAAGTTCATGTCTGCCTCCTCTGTCCCCGCCTGGCTCATAGCACATCACTGGTAGCATATTTGATGGATATCAATGTAGTCTTCATGTGCAAGTTGGAGCGTGTTTAAAATTTCACAAATACTTTAGTTTTTCACGTCCCATTGGCTCTGCTATTTTAGGTATCCTGGTTATAAGGTACCCAACTGTCACTTTAATAAAGTGGTTATTCATTTAAGATATATTTATTGAACAACTACCGTAGGCCAAGCAAGTGCCAGGCACCTATGCCAGGAATTCAATGGCGAACAAAACAGAATGCCTGCCCTCAGGACCTTTCAGTCTGGTGTGGACAGCGGGGAACAAGGGTTAATGAAAGAGCGATGCAGGCACAGGATGACGATCTTGGAAAGGGCTAGGAAGAAAAAGCACAAGCAGGGCTTCTAAGGAAGTCATGTCTGTGCTGAGACCAGAAAGATGCATTGACTACGTGAGTTAACTAAATAAACTTGCTAAAGAGTGACTAGGGTTGGAGTTAAGAAGAGAGTTAGGGTGGGAGTAAAGATTAGGGGAAGAATAGGGTGAGTTCAGAGAAGAACTTTCCAGAAAAAGGGACTAGTGCATACGTATGTCATGCAGGTCAGCTGGATGTTGACTGGGAGTGAGTTGATGGCTGTCTAAAATAGACGAGACAAAATAAGTAGAGAAAAGACAGATTTGGAGTTACTTAGGAGGTAAAATGGCATGACTTGGTTTGTCCTCCAAGGACATCTGGTGGCCGAGGCATTGACATTGGTCTTCTCTGGGCTGGTGCCTGGGGGGCCCTCCACGGCTGGCAACCTGACTTCCAATGGTGGAAGCACCCACTGAGCTGTCCGACTGCATGTGCCAAATAGGTTATGGCACATGGGTGAGCAGGAGGCCGGGGTGAGCACTTGCCTCTGTTGGCAGCCAGGTTTCAGAGCTTGGATTCAGGACTCAGGCCGGAGGATTCCTGGAGCCCTTACACAGATTACTGTGGGCAGTCAGGCGATTACGAGAGCTCAAGATGACGCCTAGTAAAGAAATCAATTGTGTTCCTGAGAACCCACGCTTAGCAGGCAATGTTTGCTTTATGTCGCCTCCCCTGTAACCAGTGTAGCTAAATAAGGAACACGGGAAACAACTGGCCCCAAATATGAGCGTCGTGGTTTCTTCACCCTCTTGATCAAAGAAAGACTCCAATGAAAGGAAAAAAATAATTAAAAAGTAAAAACCTTATGTAATGAGATTTGAAAGAAAACTTTTGAAGCCAACAAGCAACCATGGGCAATGCTTCAAAGGGCCCAGAATCAATGTTTGTCAATAGTAGTTTTGCATCCTTTATCTTTCATGAATAGAAAGTGTGATGTTATTAGGAGCCCATCCATGCCTTAATTCTGTTTGAGTTTTGATGAATCAGAACTCTGTTAACATTCCGTCTGAATCAGCAATGGCAAGGGCCCCTAGCAGAAGCCTTACCCGATCTGGGGCTTTCATCCTGAAACTGGGATGCTAGTTAACTATCGGACCTTCTGCACAGAACACTCGGCGGCCCTCCTGGGGTGCACCCCGGGGGCTGGGGTTCTTGAACTCTGCCACTTTCTTTTGGATCCTTTCTCCCCAGAAAAGAAATCACCCCATGACTCAGCCCAGCTCCAAAGTTACCATTTGTTTAATCAAGATAGTTGGTTTGCAAAACATTAAACAGTATTTGATGCCTAGTTAATAATTGGCATCCTCTTCATTTGTTTCTGAATCCTTGGAGACTGACATTTTCCCATCCTAAAGGCACAGACAACAAAAGAAATTGTACTTAGGGCAAAACAAGAGTCCTTAAGCTGCACAGATGCTTGCCAGGATGTCTAATCTCCATATTCTGCTGTTTATGGTTCTGGTGGGAAAGACAGCCATTGGGGTAAGTGTTCTTTTCAAATGTGTGCTTTGGAGAGACTGAGGTTATGAGGAGGACCAAAGCAACTGGCCAGGAGTGACTAGAAACTTCAGCTGTGAAAGGCTGGTGTTGCCAGGTTGAAGGCGTCCTGTTAGAGTTAATGCACGCCTGTAATGCTGATTGGTGTTGAGAAGCCAGTTCCATGAGGCCATGCAACTGACTTGAGCCCTTCTGGAGCAGAGGCTCCATCAGCGCCTTCTAACTAAGCTGCCTGGGGCAAGAAAATCCGCTTAGATGTGGGCTGTGAGCTGGCATGGATCTCCGAGAACCCTTTGAAAGCTATCAACACTCCTTGTACACGTTGACAGACATACACAGTTTTCTAGCCATTTCAGGTGACACTAGAGTAAGATGCCCTATGATTTGGCTCTAGAGGAGAATCCTACTGGTTGCACATGATCCTGCCAACAGATTTACTTGGATGGATTCGTTTTGGAGAAAGCTTTGTGGGTAATACGCTTTCTCCCTTTTCACAGGACCCTAGTAGATGGGGCAGGGAGTTAAACTTGGGCCCAAGGGAGGTGGTGGTGAGCAGGGTAAGGAAATGCCGTCTGAGGGCCTTGCATGGACAGTAGGCACCCCTTTGTGGGGAAGGGGCTGGATAGAGAAGGAGCAGGGGGTGAGAACTGAATTAATAGTCATAACCTCTTTATCTTGTGAAATCCTTCTGCATTTTATTTCCCATTTTACTCCACAGAGCTTTCCCTGTAGGAAGCAGATTCAGTTTCAGGTTTTCGATTAGATGCTTCAAACACAAGAGCCTCTCCTCCCCTTTCGGCAAACTATCCTCAGACACTGACCTTAGCCCCACATTAACCTGTCATGTGCCCCACCTCTGAGAGTTTTCTTTTCCAATAGTGACTTGTATATGGGTGCCCCTGCCTCATTTGATTGCTCGTTGGACATCTGGGGGCTGAGACCCAGCAGAAATAACACACAGGTCTAGAGAAAGAAGTGGAAATTATCAGAAGCCCGCAAGGGGCCCAGAGAAAGTATGAGTCGGAAAGAATTAGAGCCTAAAGTTTGCAGGCAAGGAGAGAGTTGATGCAGTCTGTTTGAAGTTCACAAAACGATAATGGTCCCAAAAAATCCTTTTTTTGCAAGCCCCAGTGAATTTTTAGGGTTAGCAATGAAATTATAAGTCAATAATGGATAAAAGAGAAAATATGAGAGATAGCCTTCAGGCAATGAGCTTAGTCAGTTCCAAAGAGAGGATTCAGGGCTTTGGAATGTTTTCTTACCCCAGATGTGTGCCAGACAGGTGGTCGAGAAGGCGGCTTGCGTTCCACAGGCCAGGCCACAGACATCCAGGGGAAAGTGGCCAACTCGCTCAGATGCTTTGGAGAGTTTGGGGCATTGTTGGGGGGGGGGTGGGCAAGGGGGAAGGAGTCACAGAGCCAGATGGGCTGGGCAGCTTCGCCCACCCCACATAGCTAAAAATAATAACCAACTGCTATCATTTCATGAGAAATCCTGTGAGCCAGTGTATCAGTTCATCTTGGGAAGGACACAAAGAAGTAGGTACCATTATCGCTCCCATTTTACAGGTGAGAAAATGGACAGCTTGGCCTCCAGTCATACAGCTGGGAAGTAGCAGAGCTATGGGCTGCTGTTCATTGTCTGGACCAGGTCTTTTGCCTGGACCCTGGCTAACGATGAGATTTCCTCTGTCCACAGAGCTGGCATGGATCTCCGAGTGTTTAGAGTGTTGACCAGGGTCATGGTCCTCTGTGTAGGAACAGGAAGCCCTTAGACCAGGGGTTGGTTTGCTGGTTGGTGTTACAGACTCCATTTGCCTCCAAAACTTTTAAAAGTAGTCACAGGGCCTGTGGTCACTATCCTTTGGAAGGATGTATGGACACTCTCTCATGAATTTAGGTCATGCGGCAAACCTTATAATGCCTTCTCTATAAGCTCATCTTTAACTCAGATTTTTATTCAGACATCCATGATCCAAAGAGGTATAGGTCAAATGTGATCGCCATGAACACCAGAGATTCATCCATAGGTCCTTCCCAGCCTGGGTTAGAATTGGTTTTCCTTGATAAACAGAACAGCTTTGTATGGTTGTCCCCATTTTATGGATGAGAAACATACCCAGAGATATTACACTGACTTCCCAGCCAGGATTGAGGCCCAGGTGTGTCCAACTCCTTCTCCATCACAGGAAGCCCATTCAGCTGTGTGAAGTAAGGACACTACCATCAGGGCTCAGAAATCTCTTCTTGCTGTGGTTCTTGGGTGGTTTATGGGTGCCACTGGCCTCCACCATAATGGAATTTGACCTCTTTGAGGGTCAAAAGCCAGAGGACAAGGCTTGTTCAGGCCTGTCCTACTTAGCTTGGCCCATCCCCAGAGAGGACAGAAGACAGTGCCTCCTCCTCTCCCAGAGTGTTTGCCCCCATGTCTGGACTTTTTAAAATTTATTTTACTTTTTTAAAGATTTTATTTATTTATTCATGAGACACAGAGAGAGGGACAGAGACACAGGCAGAGGAGAAGCAGGCACACCACAGAGAGCCCGAATCAGGACTCGATTCTGGGACCTTGGGATAAGGCCCTGAATCCAACACACATGCTCAACTGCTGAGCCACCCAGGCATACCCATTTCTGGGCTTTTTAAGCCCTAGAGTTTGGACCTAAGAATTCTAGCATCCTCCCAGGTGAAGCGCCGCAGAAATTTCTGAATAGGTCTGAGTCTGCTGATTGGCACCTTGGGGTACATTCTGCTCTTAGCCTGAGTTTTATTTGGTGGGTAGAGGGTCAGCCTGAGTATTTTGATTTCTTTTCAATTGCTTGGCAACATTTGCAAATCAGAACGTTTCATGTAGAAATACAAATTCCCAGCTTTTCTTGAAAACCAGGTATTTTAGTAACATAGTGCTCACATTCCTGCTTGGCACCAACCAGATGAGGGGCTATCACTCCTTCTTTTAGGAGAAACTCAAGCTTCCAAGTCTATAGGCCCTACCACTTTCTACTATTGACACCCTTTTACTTGACAGATATACATTATCTGCTGAGCTCTAGCTTGGAGAGAGACAGAGAGAGAGAGAGAAAAAGAGAGAGAGAGAGAGAACCCAGCTTGTCTGTTACGATGCAGAAACACTGTAGATGTTGAAGGGTTGAAGCCAATTTTGGATGGTCAGGTAACTGGGTTCAGTGTCTGATAAATTTGAGCATCCAAATCTACATGGCCCCCAGGACTGACCCAGGCCTTTGACAGGACGATACAAGCCACCTCTTTCTAAGCCTCAACGTTCCAGAATGTTCCAATCTCTTTTAAGCGTGGAGGGGCATCGTCCCTCCCTCTTGCTAGAACCCACACAGAGTCTTATGGAAAAGAGAGGGGCTGAATTTCACTGCGACTTCTTATACATTTTTTTTTAACTGATCCAAAGCAAATTCCAACTCATTAGCTTTGGCGGTATGCACTGGTATTTAGGGAAATCAGGTCGCGGGAAATTGCATGTGTATATAGGCACAGATATATTTATATTTTAAATTCATTAGGGTTCCCTAAATGCAAAAGCAATGCCGCTGTCACAGAGAAACAGCACAGCAGAATATTCGGCAGCCGGGATTTTAAATAAAACATGCTTTTCTTCATAATTAATATAACAAGGTTTTCTGGCTTAGGACCTGGCAAGGATCCCAGGAAAAATGAAGGGATGGGGGTTGGTGTGACGTGCCTGTGACCCGACAAACAAATCCCAGGAAGAGTTTATGCTTAGTGAGCTCTCTTCAATCATGCCCACAATTTGAAGAAAAATAAAAAGAAAAGGAAAAGGAAAGGAAAAAGGAAAAGGAAGAAGGAAACGGAAAAGGAAAAAAGGGAAAAAGGGGAAAGAAAGAAAGAAAGAAAGAAAGAAAGAAAGAAAGAAAGAAAGAAAGAAAGAAAGAAAGAAAGAAGAAAGATTCAAACTCATTGACAACAATGGCTAATAATTATAATCATAGTGACAACAATTCATTAAGTTTATTAAGTCTCTACTATATGTCAGCTATCATGTGCCTGATGTTTATGATCTCATTAAAGTTCCCCAACAGCCCCATGAGTTAGGGACCGTGTCATCCTCATTTGACAGACAGGAAACTAAGCTATAGAAAAGTTCAATAATCTGCCCCAGGTGGCAGCCCTGGGTGGTTACAGAGCCAGGATTCAAACCCAGGTCTGCCCGATGCCAGGTCCATGCTCATGACCGCTGGGCTAGAGGATGCCACCCCAGGCGCTACCCAAGAACAATGAGAATGCTCAGTGTGGTATGGAAGGTGTCAGAAGAGGCAGTGGTCTCAGCCTCCAGCTTCAGGCAGGAGATAAAGTTACTCCTACCCGGCAGCAACTTCCACAGTCCCTCCAGTTTTTCTTTCTAACACCAGAAGCTTCGAGGCTTGCCAGATTGCCAGCCAATCAGTTCAGTGTTTTCAAATCTTACTCACGAATGAATTTTTGCTAAAGCCCAAGCCAGTTTCTTAATATGTCCGTTAAACATACTTACCTTTTCTCTATTTGGATAGATTGATTTTTAAAGGAAATTGTCACTATTACAAATGGAAAAAACAAAACAAAACACAGAAAATGATGTCATTGAATTCTAACTGGCTACACTTGTCATGCAGATGCTCAGAGCCTGAAGCCGCTTTCTCCTTGTGGAAGGGGAGACTAGCTGGAGGTAGAGAGGATAGAGGAGGACCATGGGTTTGGAAGGATTGACAGTAAAACTGGGAAGGGAGTGACCGCCTCATGCTGTGTTTGGTGTCACGCCCTGGCCAAGCACCTCGCACATCAGGTGGGGGACCCCCAGCTCCACACTACAGGAAGCTCAGCTTCACGGGTTGACTTGGTTCCCATCAGTGAGAAATTACTCTTCTAAACCCCTGGGCTGTTTGCTGAGGCCAACTGGCCAAGGTTAACATGGGGGATTATGCCCATGTGGCAGGACTCAGACCCACCCTACTCTTT